GTGGTCCCGAGCAGCAGAGGAGATGAAAGACATTTCAGGGGACAGGGAGGCTGGGACCCACACGACCCACAGTCCCTCGCTCCAGGTCACCCCGTGTCTGGAGCGGCACCACCTACGGTCCCGGAGGACGTTTCCTCTGCCCCAGTTCATCCCCATCCCCTCAGCGATGGTTCCTCCCCTGACCCACCCCAGGGGGCTGACCACCAGCAGCTGCCTCTCCCTGTCAGCAGGAAACTCACTCCCGCTGCATCCAGAGATGCTGAGGGTGACCTCCCCCGTCCAATCTGATCCACACGCAGAAGGACAGAAACACCTTCTCGGGGACATGGAGTCCCCACTTCTGCCCCAGGCCCCTCCTACTGCTTCAGCGCAGGGCTCAGACCTCTGCTCTGTCGTCTCCAGGCACCCCGCAGAGCCCGCCCCACCCTCCAGACCCTCATCACAGCACCCGCAGATGGGCCCCACCCGTCCTAGGACCCGAATTCCAAACAAGGGTCTGTGGCTGCAGAACGTGACCTAAGGTGCTCACTCTCCTAACTCCCCGCTCCCAGCCCACTGCCCCAGCCCCAGCCGGCTTCTGTTCCACACCGGGGACCTGGTGAGCATCTGTGTACCTGCTCCCGGCGCCTGACACAGCGTTCCGAGTCCCCTGCCGTTTCCAGGGTGACAGAAGCACGTCTGTTCTAATGAGGAGACTCCTGGATGGATTCAGAAGTGCCCAGCCGGGCTAGAGGCCTGGGACTTCCTGCCCCACCCCCTCCTCGGGGCAGGGGAGGGGCTGGAGGTTGAGTTAATGATGGATCGTGGTCTACGGGATGAAGCCCCCTAAACATCCATAAAGTGTGGGGTCGGAGAGCTTCCAGGTGGGCGAACACGCCCCCAGTTCCAGGGACGGAGCTCAGGACCCTCCCCGCCCCCGCCCCCCGTGCCTGTCCATCTGACCGTTCGTGTCCTGTCATCCTTCATCATGTAATGAGCCAGTAAAGGTCAGTAGCATTTCCCCGGGTTCTGTGAGCAAATGACCAGACCCAGCAAAGGGAGGGTGGGGGCCCCAACATACAGCCAAATTAGTCGAAGTGTGAGAGGCCTGGACTGGTGTGTGGGGCGGGCCGTCCCTGGGAACGAGCCTGCAACCCAGGGATGTGATGGTAACTCCAGGTAGACAGGAGGACACCCAGCTGGTGTGGGCGGACCGGCCAGGTGGGAACACCCACAAGTGCGGAGTCAGAGGGTCGTGAGTAGAGCAGAAGGAGCTCTCTTTCGCCATCACTCTGCTGAAACCTCAGGCTCCGGCCCCGGCAGCGTCGGCTGGGTTCCTGGGTGCAGTGCGGGCCCCTTGCTCTGCTCGAAGCCACCTCTCCCCTGGCTGGTACCATGGCTCCTGGTCCAGGTGTCTTCAGAGCCGCCCTTTCCTCTGTCCACG